TTGTAGCGCAACTTTAGTACGCGGAGTAGGCTGGGGAGCTGGAGGCTGAGAACTGGCGACTTTTTTTAGTACGCGGAGTAATCTGGCGAGGCGGAGGCTGAGACCCTGAGAGCTGGAAGCTGAGAAATGGCGACTTAGTAGTACAACTTTCGTGCGCGGAGCAATCTGTGGAGCTCGACTTTGTAGTACAACTTTAGTGCGCGGAGTACTTGGGGAGCTGGTAGCTGAGAACTGGCGACTTGGTAGTACAACTTTTGTACGCGGAGTATCTGGGGAGCTGGAAGATGAGAACTGGCGACGCGGAGTATCTGGGGAGCTGGAAGATGAGAACTGGCGACTTTGTAGTACAACTTTAGTACGCGGAGCATCTGGGGAGCTGGAAGATGAGAACTGGCGACTTTGTAGTACAACTTCAGTACGTGGAGGAATCTGTGGAGCTGGAAGCTGAGAACTGGCGACTTTGTGGTACAACTGTAGTACGCGGAGTATGTGGCAAGCTGGAAGATGAGAACTGGCGACTTTGTAGTACCACTTTGGTACGCGGAGTATCTGGGGAGCTGGAAGATGAGAACTGGCGACTTTGTAGTACAACTTTAGTACGCGGAGTAATCTGTGGAGCTGGAAGCTGAGAACTGGCGACTTGGTAGTACACCTTTAGTATGCGGCTGAGTCATCTCTCGCGGCTGCTCTGGCGCTTGTGCAGCTGAGTCATGTCTCCCGACCACCCGGCTCTCTTGAGAGGTTGATAAATTTTAGCTATTTTGCTTACTCAAAAGTGGTCATTTCGACTACTTTCTGGAGACCTCAAAACACGTGTTTTGAGAGGTTGACAAATTTGAGCTAACTGGCTTCGTGTCTAGACAAGCTATCACATCATAGTTAGCGTCTAGCTCCAGTTAGTGTGGAGCTAGAGCTAGAGCTTTGCTTCACTCATCACTCATCACTCATGCGTCTGACTGAGGGACACGAGGGACACGCATGGTGGAAAGAACCGGGACACTCCTATAGGTCAATTTCTTCTTATAGGAAACTTCCGCCGCCGGCTTGCCCGGGAACTGCTTGCATACAAGGCTTTGATCAAGGCGTTCACTGCCATGCGTTAGGACAAAGGTTGAGCCGAGCAGGACATTCACAGTTGCCCTTCTTCTCTCGGTTCAACGCCAAAAAAGGGCACCTGCTCATAAGAGTGGACCGATTTTATAACATCGAGCAAAGATACCAAAGCATCAACTATTCTGGCATTACGCAGTCTTGCATTTCAAGAAGCTTTGCGCGATGGAGTTGGCGTGTGAAACTGTCGGTCGTTTGGCAAGCAGTGCACAAAGCATAAGTGTGGTTTCCCGATCAAGTTCTACATAACCAATGCCAAAAACACATAGTTGAGTACATTTTTAAATTGATGATAATGTGTGTTCATTCGGGCGCATTGATTTTATGATTTTTCTATAGAGCTTTGCGCAGGACCTCGGATTCCCGTCAAAACATGTTTTATGTTTTGGCGCCGGCTGTGGCAGAGCAGGAGACGGCCCCAGTACGGTGAAGCAGGCGGCGAAAGACAGAACGACGGTAACAAAAGCGCAACAGACACGACATCACAGAGACGACATCATCGGACATATGCAGAGCTCATGACGTTTTCGTGCGATCCTAGACAAGTGCAGTCTGATGCGTTGGCAGTATAGTTCCCATACTTTTATACAAATAAGGTCTTGCTGTCATAGAGCGAGTTGAATTTGCAATTGCCTCTACTCTTTATTAGCAACGGGAAAACCGAAGGCTGAGAGGCGCAGAGTTTCGCATTGAGGCTCGATACGATAGTAGCTTATATACACAACGCCTGGATCAACTCCGATCCCATCCTCCATTACCAGTCACAGGATAGACTTTCATTCGTACAAAAGTCCGACTCCCTTGGACATCTATCTCGGAGGGATGCCCTTGTTCATCCGGCTAACACCCTTTTCACAATAAACAAGGGCACCGCAAGCAACTTTTGTTTCCTGACTGCATTCGATGTCCTGACGCAGTTGTAAAGGTTAAGCCCGCAAATATCCTCCTGAGTTGTCCGAACGCTACCTCTATGAGAAATATATTCTAGTTGGCACAGAGTCTCGCCGCTTCTGTCCCCTAACTGGATGGACACACCTGGTTAGCCTGGTCAGCTGGATGACCTCTTTTCTTGCAGCTCCTGTCGCGCAATCTCCCTTTCCTGTCTTCTCCCAAACTCCCACCTCTAGTCAATAGACGTCTAAGTAGTCTCGTGAGCACTTCGTGAGTCCTCTACACAAACCCTCACCCCTGGTCAATAGACAGTTTAAATGGTCTTGTGAGCACTTCGTGATGCACCATTCAGCGTCATTTGCATCACTCGCATCACTAAGACCCCTACAACATACATGTTCACTACCTTTTGCACGCTCGTGCTTTTTTGCTCTCTTCCACCAGGCTCTGGGTTCACCCTACTTGCAGGGACCAAGTTTGCAACCACCCCCCCCACACACCCTACCACTCCAGCCTGGCCTATCGGCTGGATCTCGTAAGATAAGTATATATATATATATGTATGGGTATACATAGGAGCTTCTATTTGCCACACAGCCTCCCGCACATGCGCAGTGCTGTTGATGGGCTTTGCCGGCTTTGACTACAGTACTGTATTTGATAAAGCTATGGGCGACAGCCATTCAACAAATCCACCGTTGCTGCTGGATGAATATAAACTTGAGTTCAATGTCGCACTACCAAGCATAAACTGATAGACTTGCTGACTTCATGGGCAAAATTTGATGCCCTGAACAATGAGGTAGATCCCGTCGATCCCCAACAAAACAAGCTGATCATGGCAGCAATGCACTGCACTGCCCGGGAGCCCCGGCGAAGTAGCAGCACTGCCTGGGCTGACCTCGTGGGCTCATCTGCTACGATTCCATCCAAGCAATAAAAGAAATGAAGAAAAAGAGAGGACTTGGGCCGCTTTTGAAGGGTCCTTACTGAAGGTTCCCAAACACCTACTTTTTGTTCTTCTCTTCATTTCTTGATTTTGGCTTGGATAAATATCTTCGAAGTTGAGATTGAGCACACGACACGTGGATTTGTCGAGCTGGTTCCAGTGCTGGTGTTCGCGAAGCGTCTCTTTCGTGGAGGGGTGAAGGGTGAAGCATGCTAAAACACATCAGACCTTGGTGTCGTTTTTGCTTGCACTGGTGGAGAGCCACACCTGACATCGACTCACATAGTTTGTCTCAAGCTGCTATCATGAAAAGCTGGCCGCAGAACGGCTCAGTGCTAGCTTCGATATATCTTGCCTAGGCTAATTTGCTGTCTATAGGAATGAAGAAATATGCTTTAAACAATTACTGTATATAGGTGGGATGGGCTAGGGATATTCAATGTCTTTTTCAACCTCTTTGGAGAACATGTTTGATCTGTTGATGATGTGAGAAGTGTGAAAAATGTCCTAGCATTTCTTGCATAATGGTTGTGCTTGTCAGCTCCTGGATGCGTTTGGTCTTTAGCAGTTCCAACAACATTATCTCAAATGAGTGCAGTGCGGACGGTCTCTGTCACTCTGTCACGAAGCGGCGAGAATGAACTTCAAGTGAGGTCAAAACGGACCTGCGCACGGCGGCTGCTGCTGGTGGTCGGGCAGTGGCCCCAGCACCTCAGAAAAACTAGAACTCTAAGATAGAACCGATGTGGCTTTCTGGCTGAGCTCGATGCTGTTGGATTGTTGAACCACAGGAGCTGAAGAGGGCCTGCAAAGACTCCAAAGATCTGGAGATTCCTTGTTACTGGCCAAGACTGGGGCGCAAGCTTTGCCACAGCGCTGGAAGAGGCCTCGCCCGCACCGACATCGAGGCAGCAAAGAAGCATGATGCGCGATTCTTGCTCACGATCACGAAAAGCTCAGAAAGCATGTGCAATGTGGGATCCTATGAGTACCGCAATTGTCAATTCACTCTGGGTAGGGGCACAGTGCCGGCTGCAGCGTCTCCACCAGGTGCAAGGTCACCTGAGCAGAAGTAGACATGGTTCCCTTTCCCTGGCCAAAGGTTTCTCTGCAAACAAAGAAAAATAAATTGAAGTGCCAAAATCTATCCCAAACTTCCAAATTCCAACGTTCCAGTATGCACTCCATCACTTGGGCTGCGGCAAGCTTCAATGATGCCAAGTTCTCCCTGAGAATTTGGGACAGCGGGCCAGTATGACTTACCACGCCCTCTCGCGTCTTATCAGTGAAATTGGGCAGGCACCGTAGAGAGCTTCTTTAGTCGTTCCATGAGGCGGCGCTTCTTTTCAGAAAGAAGGTAGTACCTGGTTCAACTTGCTGATCTTCCTCAGTTTAAACATGTTTTAACAATCTCGTGAGCTTACAGAGCGTCGCTGCAAGATTCCCTGTTCTCTTGGGTTCGGCGTCGGCCGAAATGGGTCACGTGGTGGTCACATGGTTGTGCTTGTTGAGCTGCAAGCACCGCACCTGGGCTGCTAAGAAACGAGTGATCTGTCATGGACTCATAACTTTGTGAAGAGATCTCCACAGAAATCGGGACGAAGAAAGACCTCTCACTGGGAAAGGGCACAGCATAATCACGAGGGAAGCCAAAGGCATCCAGATCTGCCAAAACGTCCTGGGAAGACAACAACAAAAAACTGGACAAATAAACCAACAAGACATTCTATCCTTTTCCAGAACACTACGATGCCGTGCCATGTACTAGTCAAGGGTCAAGAACAAGCTTTTGACCGAAGCACATGATATTGGGACCGACTTCTTCACAACTTGCCCTAACCCCCCCTTTTGCTTTCTACATCCAACCAAGAGTGCTGCTTTGAGCCTCTCTGATCACGACTGGCACATTATCTAGAAGACCTGTTCATCTTCCAGAAGTGTCATTCAGAAACCTGGGAGCAAGGACGCTACTAGGGGCTCCTTCTATCGCTACTAGGAACAAGAAGCTACTATGGGGCTCCTGGCATTACTACTAGGAGCAAGGACACTACTAGCGGCTGTTGAGATCGATGTCAGCGTGATGCTTTGCACGCTTCTTCTCAGTCCATCTCATCCATTTCTGCATTGCCTCAAGCAGTTCTCCGCAACCGATAAGAAACTTGGGGAAGCCAAGGGTCCTGGCCATCTTGACCTGCTTCTGGCTCCGCCTCTGCAGCCTCCTCATCCTGCACGGGTTCCAATAGGGTAGATCGACGCCAACAAAACATATCAAACCACAAACTTGTATGTTGATTCAAGGCTCCAATACTACTGATGCAACATTTACTATGACTATGGTATACTGAGGTGGATGAAGGCGCCGGTCATTCCACTCCTGTATGTTCTGCAACTCTTCTCGCAAGGCGGAGGTGAAGTCCTCCAAGTGCCCTGTATGACCCTGGCGCCTTGGGGGGGTTGCGTCCAGAAACATGCTTGGTCGGGCTTAGGTTGGAGGACACCGCCCTTATTACACTCAGTCACATATGAGAGGATGTTCATGGTGTACCACATGACGTTAAGGGTTGAGACCAAGAATCCAAGACAAAGCGTCGCAGAATCCTGAGAAATGCACAGCCAGTCAAGCCGCACAGAGCGCTGAGATGCCTCAGTCAGTGGAACCGATAACCGATCGTTTGGAAATATTGTGGAGCCCTTGCCACCCGGCCTCACTTTGTTTCCGGCTTCTCTCGGCGGCCGTCGAGTACTTCCTGAATTGCACAGTATCGACCCCGAACAGCAGCGGGAACTTGATGTTTCTTTTGCCAGCAAACCTTGAAAGTGTTCGCCGACAGTTTTGAGTCAGAGTCATGAAAAACAAAGGAAAACAAAGCAAATCCCTTTCAGCCCAAGCATGCAAGAATCCAAGACGAGGATACAAAAGAACACAAAGGAAAACAAAGCAGAATCATCACACCCCAGGACCCAAGAAGAGCCATGTGGAGACAAAGGAGACAAAAGGATACTGAAAGAAAACATCTTGGCCCAGGATCGATTGAGAACAAAACTGTTTGGGGAAAACACATGCCACACTTGGAATGAAGCATGAAAATCACTCAAAGTATAAATTCGGTCCAAAAATAAAAGAATACAGTGGGCGGGAGCTATTGGACAAAAATTGGGAATGCCTCAGCAGGAGCAGCTAGACTATGATAGAGTGTCAGCAGCTTCGTTCAATTCTTCCTGTCTGTCTTCCAATAACACTTTCTTTCAAACAAGCTAGGGCAACTGAGACCTCTTCATCGCCTGCCAAGGAAACTTGGGGAAAATGAAAGAGACAAACAACACATAACGAAACTACAGGTCTTGCAAGTGGCAACTGACTTGTTGGGCCTTGGCACGAAAAGACTCAAAGTCTGTGTAGGTTGGCTCAGGTAGAGGCTGCTCCCCTTGGTCAACTCAAGCGATGTGAGTGTTTGCAAAGCTTGAGTGTGCTAGACATAAAATGCAGTCACTTTAAATATATTGCAAATTTATCTATGTGATGCGGCGTGCTTGCGAAGTGTGTCCTTAAGTGTGATTACGCCGTTACGACGTTTGGTCGTCACACGCTGTTTCGCCGTGCCGTTTGGTGGTTGCATTACGCCGTTACGCCGTTTGACCAATGGAAGGCCATTTGTTGCAGCGTTTGCAAAAGCCAAAGAGACAGTTTTCCAGATGGAACTTAGAAAGCCCATGTTGGCAGAGCCTGCAGAAAGCAAAAGGACAGCGGAGCTTAGAAAGTCCATTTTGCTTCTTGCAGCGTCTGCAGAAAGCAATAAGACATTTTGAGCTTAGGAAGCCAGTGTTGCTTTTTCCTTGAGATCACTGGCGCTGCAGGTTTGCGTCGGCGTTTAGCCGTTCCTTTTCCGCCCCGTTTCCCCGAAATGACGGCCCTGCCGGGTTGCGGGTGGGAAGCGTCGCCTCTGCGACCAATGAATTGCTTCTGACCTTTGCTTTGTCTTCTCGCATCTGATTTTGCGCAAACGAACGATCGCGTTTGTTATGAGCGCGGTTTGCAGGAAGATCCTTTTGGGACAAGGACACACTTTGGCGCTTTGATGTGATGTCATATGATCAATCGTTATCGTGCTTTATCCTTCTTGTCGTTTCTGCTGCCTTGGCTCACCTCGGTTACTTTCACAACTGCATGCTCCTACTAAATTGATTGGGATATTTTCACACACTAATAACCGATGACAGAAGCCTCAAATCCCACCTTCAGCAGCTGCCTCCATGCGGGCCAAGCGATTCTTTGCCGCCTTTGAGGGAGAGAGAGCGCAGCTCGCTTAGAAACTCGCTACAAAACGCTCAAGACCCCTTCAAAGTATGAAGACTATGTTTAAGCCTGGGGAAGCAGGCCGCTAGAGGGAGGTAGTAGCTAGAGGTAGGTAGCTAGTAGAAGCTAGGTAGCTAGTAGCTACAAGAAAGCTATTAGTAACTAGTATGGACGCAGGATAGCTCACGCGTCTTCCAGGAAGCTCCCCCCACCACCCCAAAGGCGGCGGAAAAGTGCAGCCGCCGAAACAACAAAGACCGGAAGAAGGGTTTGCGCATCGAAATCTCCAAACAACAAGCCTGGGCAACTTCTGCCGAGATGTCCGTCATGTTGGACACCGTGTCCAGATCCTCAACCATGGCTTGAGAGATCACTGGTGTTGAGATTCTAGAAAGGGTGTTCACGTATGTTCTGTCAATTTCGGGTGACTCCAACAAATTGAGTGCGCAAATTAAAACAGCACCTAACAATGTGAAACACAGTACTGTAGTTTGAGTGAAAGTCTGGCGATGCCAGCCTCGCTTCAGTCCTTGCCCCTTTCTGGGCATCCGGCTGCCATAGGTGCTCTGGGCGCGCTCTCCTGGACGAGAAACCCTTGAGTCAAGGCTTGCTTCATAGAATGACAAGAGCCCTTGAGCCAAGCTGTCATGCCCACTGTCTCCTGCGGAACAGGTGGTGGCTTGTCCTCAGAGAAACCTGATAGACCGGCCTCAGGGGATGCCAACAAGCACAATCTAAGACAATCAAACAAATCTCACAGTAAAGTCTTCCATTGTTGTCCTATCAGCCGTGTCGTGTGTCGGTCATGGGATCCGAACACTCATCTTCTCTGCTAGCTTCTTGCGCGCGGCAGCATCTTGCTTGCTATCTTTGGCAGCCTTGCAACCACAGTTTGGCTTCCTGTGGTTCAGTGTCTTCATGCTGACTGAGCTCTTGCCACTTGCCTCTGCTCGCGACTTCCATCGAATTCTTTGAAGCATCTTGGAAGCCTGGCAATGTGGATCTCGCGTACAAATCATCCAACAGCTTTGCTTAGTTTGGATTCGTCTACACCCTTTCCACCTCTGGCAGGTCCAGCTTGGACAGCCACTGCTCTGCCTCCTGAGATCGTCCCAACCTGGAGCACAAGATAGATGCAAGACAGGACGTTCTCATGTGCTCTCACATTTGCATTCGCATCTGCGGATGCAGTGAGTTGACCACAAATCCGGCACAGGCTGGGCACCCCGGCTGCAGACACGCCTCGGCCGCCCGGAAACGTGCCTTGTCATTCTCCTGGTCGGTGAAAAGCACAACCTGCTCCGAGCCAACGGGCACAAACGTTCTTTGTTTCTACTAGCAATGGCCTCCAACCTCCAACCTACTAGCGATGGCCTCCAACCTACTAGAGCAATGGCCTCCAACTAACTAGCGATGGCGTCCAACCTACTAGCAATGGCCTCCAACCTACTAGCGATGGCCTCCAACCTACCAGCAATGGCCTCCAACCTACTAGCGATGGCCTCCAACCTACTTGCGATGGCCTCCAACCTAATAGCAAACTATATTTGACCGTTCTATATAATTCGTCTCACAACAAGCACTGTTGGATGAGGAAGAGATGCTGTGCTTGACCTTGCACGCTCGTAGGGCTCGCTCACCGTCACCAAGCTTCAAGTATCCTTGCGCCTTTGCAGCTGGGTGGTCACACGAGCCGGAAAAAGAGAGATGATTTGCAAAAACAAAGATCAAACGATCCAGAAAAGACCCCAGCCAAGTTGAGGTAAATTGAGCGCTCCAATGTTGTAGCCTCCTGCAGATTCAAATGCAGTTTGTGCGCACAGCATCCCAGCGTGTCTACGGTTATGCCGTGTGACAAACCTTTAAAGTCATAAGTCAAGTGGAATCTAATAAACCTCTAATTACAAGGATAAAGCAGGATTTCACATATGGTAGCTTTGAGCGTCGCCAGCCTCATCACAAGGCTTACCATCTGAAAGCTCCTGCAGGTTAGGCTTGAACCGATTCTTTTCCAGGTTCTGTTCGGGCTGGACTTAAATAGAGTTTGCTGGTTTGGATTGTTCAAATTTGTGCTTGACTTTGGCTTTGTACCTTCCAAAACCCTTTCCTGCCTGTACATGCTTTCGAATGGCCAGGTTCCAGAGCCGCACGGCCTCCTGCAAAGCGGTGGTAGGATTAGCTCAGCACTTCTTCACATTGACTTCATAATATGGAGAAGAGAGTCATGGGTTGGACAGGCCTCCACATCATTTCTGGAGTAGGCGGCATTTCCGTGGCTCTTCAGCTCGGAGGCCTTGTTTGACTCAGACAGAGCTCAAACAGAAAATACAAACAAAAGGCTTCACAGTGGTGCGTAGGAAGCTTTGAAACCCAACAGATTCACTCATGTACCGTGATCTATGGAGTCCAGTGGCATGTCTTGGGTACGGACTTCTTCGACCTCTACCTCACCCTCACCTGGTGCCTGACGAGAAACACGCCATGCTCAAACTGGACACCTCCAACCTGACTTCACACAGGCACCTCCATTGAGCAACATCACCAGCCACTTGTGGATCTCATGCGATTCAAGTGCAAGTGAAAGAATCAATCTGTTTTTGCTGCACCAGTCCCACCAAAATCCATTCCTAAACTTTAAAACCGAACAATCTGATACAATCTCCAACTACAAGAAGCTTCCTTGGGAATCGTTTCACCTGTAGTAACAAGAGCCTTTTTAGTATGTCTTTGAGGCTTCTTAGTAACTAGAAGCTTTCTAGTAACTTTGTGTCAAATGTGAACAGGCTGCAGACCTCCAACTCTAGACTCTACACTTTTTGAGCCCGGCAGCGGAAGACATTGCAAAAATAGCAAAGGATCACAAGAACTCTCCGTTGCTACGACCGTTCGAAGGCTCTGCGGTAGTATCCAAAACCCAAAGGCTTTCCATCGAAAGGCTTCAGGTCTTGGACGTAAACATAAAGCCTGCTCCTGTTCCTTTTTTTTTTCCTTCTAATAGCGAGACTAGCCATGGCCTCCAACCTACTAGCCATGGCCTCCAACCTAGGAGCAAAGTGGGCAAACATAACGTAAATGCAATTATATACATATTTTATTTATACTTGCATTCCAAACAAAACATACAGCTTATCACATCTGCCTACGTTACTTAATTCCATGTCTTTGCATACACAGCCAACACCAAGTCTCTGCTAAGGTCCTCTTCCAACTTCATATCCTGCTTCTCGCCTACAAGGCCAATCTGGTCAGCTTCCGTGAGATCGATTCTTGTTCAACGTTGGTTCACCTATTCTTCAAGTGTCCTTCTTCCCAAATACCTGCCAGGCCTTGCTCTACCTTTTCCTCTGGGATGGGAGTAGAAGCTTCTGGAATTTGCCGGTACCTCCCAAGTGCAATCAACAGCAATTGAGCACTCTTACCAAGCACTATCTCAAGCGAAAGAGCTTGGGAGCTCTGGAGACTCAGGAACCGGCCATGGATGCGCACGCACATCCGGGACATTGTAGCGGCACTTGGGGTCGGTGGTCAGTAGCTTTGAGATGAGGTCCCGCACGGACTGGGGAGTCAACAGCCAACAACAGCCAAAGTCAGCAGCTATAGCTGAAGTCATGTAATTGTGCAACATTGCGAATTTCTTAGTAGTGATCCATCTCTTTCCCAAGAAAATGTCAGATTGTCACTTCACTGCCTCACTGATAAACTTGGGTGTCTTGTAGTCAGCGGCCAATATCTTCTTGTACAGTGCTGAGGTGTTTTGATCCTGGCACAGCTCAAATCCTTTGAAAACATCAAAGGTACTTGGAACAATAGATGGCGACAATGAAGCCTCAACTGCCTTTCCTAACTGGTTGGATGGTGAATCCTGGAAGAAACGTATGGGAGTACAAAACATAGGGGTCAAATAGGTGCCTCAATCCTGGACAAATAAGCTACAGAATGGAAACATGATCTTCCAAGAGTCTCAACATTCTCCCTGTTTCGCCAACCCTTTCGCCTCAAAAGGAAGGTATCCACAAACCAGTGCGAAAAGAATCACCCCGCAACTCCAAAGGTCGCAAAGATGTGGAACCTGATACCGTCGCCGCGGATTCCTTTGCTAGTAATTACAATTCTAATTAAATTCTTATTGTTACTAGTAGTAAGGCACTTGTTTCTACTAGCTTCTTGCTACTACTAGTAAGGCACTTGTTACTAGTAGCGATGCACTTGTTCCTAGTAGCGGCGTAGACGTGTGACTGCTTTGACTGGGTGTGTGTTGAAACACTTGCGTGGCTTGCACCGCTCGCATGGCTTGTGCGTGCGCTGAGGTCAGCACATAACTGTGACCTGCCCACATGAAACAAACCCTTCAACGGCTCCATTTGGCTATCTTCGTCAGTTTCGTGCTGTCAAAACACGCAACCCAAGCCGCTTGCCTGCAATCATTTCGGGCGCAGCATAGCATGGAGAGCCACAAGCAGTTTTGAGGAGCTGACCAGGCCTGGCAAAAAGCTCTGGTGTAGCACTTTTTGAGTTGACTGACCTTTCTCCAGCAGTCCTTGGAACTTCATTATCCAACTGCTGTCCGCAAACACTGCTAACGTCATAATTTGTTTCAACATGTGTCAACTCATCTGCAAACCTTCGGGTACAAAACATTGCAAATGCATCTCTGAATCTCCAGCCCGTCTGCTGTGCTGCTTGAACGTGGTCTTCGTTCAAGAGAAGTGCTTCTTCGCCTGAAAACGTTGCTCAGGCCAAAGTCCACGATCTTAATGTTTTTGTGCTCGTCCAGGAGGAGATTCTCGGGCTTCAGATCCCGGTGCACGATGTTCATGGCATGAACCTTCTCCAAGCCGGCAATAATCTGATGGAAGAAGCGGCATGCCTGGCAATGCACCGACCCTTACACCTTTTAGCCAAAGTAAAAAAACAGTCGCAAATGAGCAGTATTCTAGTATACAAACAATGGTGGCTGCCTCCAATTCTGGTACACGCCCTTTAGCGACAATGTAGTCAAATAGCTCTCCGCCACTGGCATACCTGCGCAAGCAAGCTTTCACAACTCTGCCCTGTTCCTCTATATATATATATATCGTCAAGCTTGAGGCTAGACAGCTGCTCTCAGATTGAGCTCACAAGAATCCGAGGGCACTCCATAATAAGATAAAGTTGGCGACGCGTCTCAATGATTTCATACAACTGAACCTGGGTTCTCAAACAGCTCAAGACATTTGCGGAGTTGCATGATCCGAGTCAGCTTCACAAGCTGAGCTGAGCACGATGTGTGGGTGCCGGATGAGCTTCAAAATGTGCACCTTCATGAGTTCATGAGCGAAGTTCGCAAGGACGCAAGAGCGTATGCTGAACGAAGGACGAAGAAGGATGAAGAAGCACAGCTATTGTTACTAATAGCTTCTTGTTACTACTAGTAAGGCACTTGTTACTAGTAGCGATGCACTTGTTCCTAGTTACGAAAGGATGAAAGTCTCAAAGGTCGGTGCGTCGATTGACAAGCACAGCTCGCCTCACGGGCGACCCGCTCCACATCTGCGACTTCGACAATCCTCTCTTTCTCGAGGATCTGGCAAGGAACTCTAAACAGCGAGTCTTTGTGTTCAGAATTTGATAAATGTCATAAGTTTGGAATAGATCTATATACTTATGTGTATAGTTGAAGAAGAATACAAAGCTGTTGTGGAAGCTCGATTGGTAAATGGGCAAATGCTGTAGAGCGAAAGTCTTGCGAACTCCTAAGAAGGCCTGCTGCAGAAAGAGTGAACCAAAAACGGGCATTGTAAAAACATATGTCTAAAACATGCTCGGGAAGAACAAGTCTTGAATCTTGAAGAAACTGCGCCTTGACGGCAACGCGTTCACTGGTCAAGATGTGAGTGCCAAGCTTGACCTCAATCATTCATGCTGAGCGTGTGTTACTTGACAAACACTGATGACACAAGCAAGAATCAAGAACGATTCCAACGTCAGAGCCAAGGTACTTTACCAAACGTGCCTTCTCCAATAGTCTTGCCTGCAATGGACGATGGGATGAAATGTACATTCGTAGATGTTGTTTTTCCTAGCCGGAGAGAGGGGGCAACAGGAAAGCAAAGACATTCAGTTTTCCTTTCCTTGTGCGCTTCCAGCTCCCAATGAAAGTCTGACCCCCAAGAACCAACCACGTCTGCTATGTCATATTGTCAAGTCCATCCCAAGGTTTGTTTGCATCCAACCAGGCCTAAAATGTAGTGACCTATGGATTTTGCACGTGCTCGGCCGCTATCAGGCTGGGACATGGCGAAGGCCTTCACAACCTCAAGTCAAGCAGGAGGCAAAAGAATCATTCACCAAAACTGATGCTGAAATGGTGGATGCTGGTCGAAACCTTTAAAACCTCTCACAAAATGTCTCACTACTTACTCGGCATTGTTTCCCTTAAAAGCATTTCACTCGCATAAAACACACTTAGTGCTGCATCGGCTCAGACCTTTCTTAGTCTCCTGCCTGGATCAACTGAGCACCCGCAAAAACACACTTGATCGCCGAGGCTGCGGGAAGTTACTGTAGATCTGACCCACAGACAGATTTCTTACGCCAAGAGGATTTCTCTTCGGAATGCATGTATGTATCATATATATATATATTTATATATATATATATTTGGTGTCTTTTCAATGGTGAAGTTGTGTGAACCAACATGTCTGCTGCCACAACTGCCTTTTCGGTCCGCCGTTCCTTCCGTCTCCACTTCGCTTGAAGCGAGCCGGACCCTGTCCCTGCTGACCCACTGTGAAAGGGGGTTGTTTTGCCATTCTCCAGAGGGTGGGGGACCGAGGGATGCCAAGTAAAGCAAGTCATTTAAACAAGACTAGAATTAAAAATTGTCCTTCGAGATCTAACTATGGAGAACTGCAGAACTGTTTGCTATCTATGGCTTCCAGTTTTACCGAGCTTCACCCTGGATGCCTGGCAGAGACGCTTTTGCTTGCAGTCATGCAAGTTGGCAAGCGTTCGCGTATGTCATTGCAAGAAAAAACAAAATTGTGTGTTGATCTGTTGTTGTTTCCCTACCTTTCTCCCCTTTTTTCACCGTGTCCTTGGATCTTTCCTTTCTTCCACTTGAACGCCCTTTACATGCAGTTTCTGGAATGAATGGCGATGTACAAGGATGCTTGCCCATGCACCTCCGACACGCACAGGCTTAGAGGACCTTGCTCACGAAGATGTTGTAGCGTCCTCAGCTGCAAGCCACACTGGCATAGATCCCATCGCACACGCAAGAGACAAGTACGGAGCGGAGCATCGGAGACAGTTTGGGGAACTAAAAGCAGAACTACGGAGCACACAAAAATCAAAAGCAAAAGCTAAGCCAATCACACTGGCATAGGCAGCAGCGGCAGGCAAGCCGCGATCACAACAGAAGAAAAGTAAAGAGTTTGGTACAGAGACATTGACAACGGCAGCGACAACGGCAGGAAATTCCACGGCGGCAACAGTGGCAAACAACTCCGCACCTCACAGGAAACAAGTGGTGAGACACAGCACAACGGCGACAAAAGGAGATTTCGCAAATCAGATTGAGAAGTAAGAACCCCTCTTGCTTTTGCTATCTGGGGAAAAGTTGCGCTAGGGCGGGCCCTTTGTTGAATTGATGCCACTCACTGAGTGCAAGACAGCCGTGCAGCGCCAAATCCTAAGACACCATGCGCGGCTTCTTTTTGGGCGGCCTTGGTATAATTGGTGCCAACTTCTGGTGCTGGAGAGAGAACTGTCAGAGTGCAATGGTCTAGCTTGTATGAAGGGCTGCCAGTGATATGTACCGCATTGTCGTCATCTCAATCAATCTCTGCTCATCCCTCGACCACAAGTTTACAAACCCGATGGTGTCACATCGAAGCGTCCGTGAAACAATTTTTTTTGGCTCGAAGCAACTGCGTTTCTGCAGTCCTCAGGCTCCTGGAGCCAAGAGCAAAGGCAGTGGAGTTGAAGACCATTTGCATAGTTCGTCTAGCAAACCGCTTGCAAGCCACGATAATGTGTCCAAGCAATGCCCCCACGCCTTGAGGATTAGCACAAGGCGCCGCCTGGCCAACTTGGCTGCTTCGGCTTCAACACAGCAGCACGGAAGGGCCACTTGCACCTGGAGGTAACACAAGAGTTCCTTCCAAAGCAGAATAAGCCTGTACATAGGCGCATAGACTCTCTGCTTTGAGTTCACTTTCAACATTCAGTAAGATCCTAGCTACTAGACTTGAGTGGATTCCTCCCTGCCTCATGCTCGCGGATGCGCAGTCGCACCGATCCGCTGCCCAAGTCGCACTGCAGATCGTCCGAGCTCACTGGCCAAACCTCAATGGCCAATAGACCCTGCTCATCTTCCTTATTGTTCCTTCTAATAGCGTTGGCCTCCAACCAAATAGCGATGGCCTCCAACCAAGTAGCGCTGGCCTCCAACCTAATAGCGATGGCCTCCAACCAAATAGCGATGGCCTCCAACCTAATAGCGATGGCCTCCAACCTAATAGCGATGGCCTCCAACCTAATAGCGATGGCCTCCAACCTAATAGCGATGGCCTCCAACCTAATAGCGTTGGCCTCCAACCAAATAGCGATGGCCTCCAACCTAATAGCGATGGCCTCCAACCTAATAGCAATGGCCTCCAACCTAATACTTCAGCGAACCAAACTGCCAACTCTAATCCCAGTTCGTCTCCACTTCTTCAATTCAAGCTGGAACATGCCTTCTGGTGGCGCTTCTTGAGGTCACGAACTGATTCTTGGAAAGTGATGTGAAAACATGTTCAAGGCTGCGCAAACAGCAAACCTCAAAACACGTCTTGGTTGTACAAACCCACAAGCACCTCTGCCAGGTCTATAGACACCACAAGCACTGGGGCCCTGGAAGGAACAATGCTGTTCTTTTCCAAAAATTGGTCAGGAGTCCAATCAAGCCATGCATGGAAGAGCTGCGGTCCTCAAAAGCTCCCAGCGCATCATGACCCTCGGCTGCCAAAGGCCTCAGCAAAACGAACCTGTTCGGGCCGTTGTTCTGGCGCCTTAAGTCATCCAACTTGTTCAATTCTAGTCCTACTTCCTTCTAGTCGCACTCTTGCGCTTGCACTTCCACATTTATATAATCCTCGTCTATCACCCATCATAACCAGCCGCAGCCGCTGTCAGCGCTTCCAGCCTGGTGCCACTCTTTCCTCCTCTCTGAGGCAGCCTGAACAACCACAGTGGAAGCCGAAGGTCTTCGAGAGAAACTCCTCAAGCTGCTCCCATTGTTCAAACAAACCAAACCAACACAGAACTTTTGGACAAATCGATCAAAAAGGGAAAAACAATAAACAACAACTGAAGCAAAGAACAGCCCAACGATTTATTGGCTTTGCACCCACAGCCCAGCGAGAGCTCTCAGGATCGGAAAAATCTAGCTACCAGCAAATGATGGCTTGTTGATAAGTGGAAACTGATGGTTTGTCAATACCACGATCTGGTTTGGCTCAGGCCGTGGAAAGAATCACTACCTGTGCGAAAGAACTTTATGACCAACTTGTGTTGTTTGGACCTCAGACTTGCAGACCTGCAATACAGCTCGTGCATCATCGACCCCCTATCTCACTCCCTCTTTCCTGCCGCCTCTGCACACACCAGGCAGAAGGATCCTGCAAGTCTAAAGTCAACCAAAATGCAACTCAATCCAGCTTCGGACATCTTCCACAACAAGTATCAGCAACACTCAATACTACTGGATCTCTATTCTATCATTTAGTAGCAAGCTTGCCATCGCCAACCTCTTAAGTCCTGCTTCAGGGGCACGTAGCAAAAAGTGATTTCCTCACCCGCAGCCACAGGCCTACTGCACTGTCCAACTTCTGGTTTGGTAGAAGTGCGAGGCAATATCTGGCCTCAACAGTCGCATGCTGACATAATCGCCCTCTGTCTCAGGCGTTGCTGAAGGATCACCTGAATGAAGCAAGCATGTCTTGCTCAAGCTGCATTGCTCGCATTTGCTGCGAAGTGATGGGCGGGAGAGTCTCTTTTGAAGCAAGTAGACACAACTACTGCTATGGCCATGGTGCCAAGTTGCAAGAATGATTGAAAAGAGCGCAGAAGCGGCACAGCCTCCAAGCTCTTTGGCGAGAACCGGCTAGAACAAAAATAATCAACATCCATCACACAATTTGAAATGACTGTTGCTTCCAACAAGACTCTCAGGACCGGTAAGAACCAGCACAAACGCTGCCTCACTGCCCTCTCTTTCTCCGAAAAGCATGTCACTTCGCAGGGATGGAACACTGCATCAGATTACCAACAAGAGTACGCCGATTGTTCAACAGCAGAAACTTGTGTCTAGGCCTGAATTGCTCAATTGGAAACCGCGTCTTGGAATATTTGGAGTATTCTAGTAGGATACAGCAGAAGGAGAGTGGAAAGATCATGAAGTGAAGCTAAGTACAGTGTCACAGCCCTCTCTTGGCGAAGTTGACGTGACTTTGACGAGTACAGTCTTTGCAGGTCATTGCGCTCGTTGATGCCTCTATATAGGGGTGACAAACTTCACGGACCAATGAACCAGAGATGACGCCCTTTCCAAGATCGCAGTGGCTCCTTCTGTCTGGTTTCTGTCTCCATTCTGCTGCGTTGCCAGGTCAGGCCAAGGTGAGAAGTGAGAATCAGAACAAGAGTTCAATCTCGATCCAAGTAGAAGCAAGGGTCCAAAGCTGGATGGTCCAACTCCTCTGTAACAGGGTCCACTTGCAAACTGCTGACTTCAAACTCATTGAGTTGGCCGGCAAGAGAGCGGCTTCTTTGAGGTGTTTGGCAGGCCAGAGCGAGGAAAGGTTGTAACGTGATCAGCCAGAACAATTACACCCGCATAGACCCCAAATAGCAAGAGAATGCAAGAGATATTTGTGCACAGCACCCTGCGGCACCACCACCACCCAGGCTCCAAAGCGCTCCCTGCATTGGACCCCTCCAAAAGCGCATCTGGCAGCGGCACCCTGCAGCACCACCCTGGAGCAGCACCCTGCAGCGGCAACAGCACCCAGGCCCCATGACAGCGCACACAGGCACCTCTGCCTATACTTGAAGAAAGAACCCCAATAGCTCTCGATATCTGCAGGTTAGGTTGAGTCAGGCATATGCGTGTTGGCAACCCTGCACCTAGAATCCTAGAGGAACCTGAAAAAGTGTCATGAAAACACTTCCCAAACGTTTCCTGATTGTTCAGCGAAGTTCGCCTCACTTCATTCGAACTCGCAGCAAATGAGTTGAGAAGAAAGGCCACGGTGAGGCGCATCAGCTCATCTGCAGCCTGCACGTCTCTCGTCTTTGGGTGAATTTGCAACAGATTCCATTTGTCCACATGAATGGGTCCGTTCCGGTCAGTGCCACTCCAAAGTCTTGCCAGCTTTTCCATTCTTGATTCCCCAATCAGTTCAAACACATCGGTGTGTGTGTGTTAAGCACATGTCGCACTTGTGTTGTCCAACCTGATGTGTGGCACACACTCATTCAAATTGAGGTTCCATGTCGCTTTGTTATTTGGATGACATTCTGTCCGTTGTCATTCAGAGACTTCCACTGTAAAAAGCAAGTGACATTCTTTGCACAAGAAGCTGAGCCTCCTCCTGGTGCTTGTGTTGCAAGCAGAAAGAGGTGATGCTCGTGGCGATGTCGATTGCATCATCCTGGTGGCTTTCAGTACTATGCCCCTCCCCAGGAAGCACGGAGGCCACAAGCCTGGTTCCCTGTTGCAAATCAGAGAATCAACGTGATATCTTCGACTGACTTCTAGTGTGTAGATTGGGGTCTAAAATCAATACGTCAATATGTTCCATAACTATATAGACATGAACATATTGTGGCTTTTGTGCATAGAACAAGTTCCCAAAGGTTCTCGTTCGACTTCGCTGTCGCCCCGAGTTTGGTCCAATGAGTCCCATGTTCGCCTGGCTCAAGCCCTCGAAGGCGGCACACAGCGCAGCCGCTGAGCGGCCGGTGGACCTCTCAAAACGATGGACATCTTCCAAAAGCCCAGAAAATCACTCGAGACTAGTAGCTTGCTACTAATGAGGCACCTTGCTACTAGTAGCTTCTTGTTCCTGTATTTGTATAATATTGTATAATAAAAAATACTATTATGCGACTTGGCTTCCGACTTAGCTTCAAAGACCAGGGAAACAAGCTCCTTCATCCCAGCAATGATCTGCAAGAAGAGTGCCTGTTCTGCTCCGTCTGAATCTAGCTCACATTGGCAGCACCGTGTGGTTGATGTCTGTGCCAAGATCCACCGAGAAGCCAGATCCCAACTCAGGCCATTGCATGCACGTCACCCTCCTTTGGCAACCCATGTCGTGGCATTAGCCTCGGAACCGGCTGACATATAGCTATGCAGCTGTGCTCGGCACCTTCGGAATGACACAGCCGTTAGGAGCTATGGCTCGGATTGGTGAAGCTGGTTTGATTCCCAAGCTGTCCAGTCTGATCCATTTGAGCTGCCCAAAGGTGGCCTTCTTCAGGTGATCAAAGTTCTTGGCCTCAAGCCGAATCGTCGCAAGTTCAAAGGAATCAGATCTCTAAGCCAAAGGAACACAAATGTCCTCAGCTATGAGCTGTGGTTGATAGGAGCAGCAGCATGTTGTAGGAGGAGTCCTGGCTGGAAGAAAACTGAAGGAGAGCCACGCAGTTCATCGGGCCCCGAGCGGCCGCCCCAACTCCTCAGGGTCACACCGTGACACTGCCAAGGGTTCCTGCAAAGAAACAATATCCAAGGAACCCAAATGAGCCCAGATGAACCCAGATGGTCAGGCTCAAGCTAAGAGCTAAAAAAGAAGGAAAACTCTGCAAGCAGGACCTACACAGGACCTGGACCTACACAGATTGGCTTCAAGGAGACTTATCAAGCCACTGCTTTCTGAAAAGCCAAATATGAGTCCGACCTCTCCAAAACAATCTCAAACAGGCAAAGTTTGTCATACTATGTCATACCCACCTTTTCATTGAAGTGACTTTCCGAGGAACATCCAGCAACTCCAGAAGCGTTCGTTTCGGAGCCTCCCGAAGCAGCAATGTGCCAGCAGGCAGTGGGCGGAGTGCCACCATGCCTTGATCAAAGCAGTCTGATCAAAGCATTTTGCTTTCGGTGTCATGCCCGCATCTGCACCGAAAAGATGAATCGCCTGCCTTTTTCGACTGAAAACGCGGAAATTCATGGCATAAACAGAAACCTGTCAGGAAGATTCTTCTACCAGTCTCACTCATTTCTTGGTAGCTTGATCCAATCGACATTCTTGGGGTGTCCACGCTTCGTGAGGTGCAGCCGGATCTCATAGCTGGCCCCGGCGAGGCCGCCATCCCGTCCAACGGTCCAATTCAAGCCGTGCGCACTGATATTGGGCCCTTGCAGCACATGAGTCACGAAAGGTGTGGCGTTTGCCCGGTCTGGATGGAGGGTTCTCTCCCAAAGTCCATCCAAAAGAATCTGGAAACTTTCCTCATTCCTCAAGCCGAGGGTGATGGTGTACTTGTAGCAGGTGCCGTCAAACTCCATTTCCTTCGGCGTCTCCCAGTTGTCCCAGGATCCGACGATACAGAATTTCTGATGCATGGATGTCTGACTCGGCCTCTCATCAAGAAGCCTTTCCCACTTCAAGCCATACTCAAACATGCCAAACTCTCCTTTCCGAGTCAGCTCTATTCGAAAAGCATCGCCAGCCTGTCCGTGCAAGAACCAATTCATGCCATGACCCTGGTCATCAGGGCCTGCGACTGGCTCTATCATCTTGGCTTTGGGTGTCTTTGGATGAATGACCTGTGACCAGTCACGATTGCGGAGGATCTGGAACTCACCCCCATCTCGCCAAAGCACCGCCGTGGTACTATACACGCCAGGAGTCTCTGCTGGTGTCATCTCTGATAGATTCCAATCATTCCAGGAACCTGCAACAGGGTAAGGAAGTGAAGCAATGTGCACAGTATCCCGTCAACATTTTTTCTAAATACGCTGGGCCATGAACATGCTAAAACAGAAGCAACATGGGGCATAAATGTAAGGTCTACAGTATCTATATGTAAATCCTGGCTGGAGCTTGCTGGTGGTTAAAATGCTTTGCCCATCCTGGCCTGCAATGTAGAACTGGCTCACTCTCTCCCGCGTCAATTGGTCAGACAATCTAGCCTGTGGGTGCCCCTGAGGTAGCTTTTCCCAGGTCACATTGCGCCATCTGCCAGTGACACGAAGAGTTACTCTGTAAGAGTCGCCAGGCATGCCATAGTCCGCGGAGGGGCATTTAGGCTTCTCTCCATCTGAAGTATCTTCGCCTTTGAGTGCCTTTGGCAACAAGCTCTCATTGCCAAGCTCCTTGGGCACTTTCACAGCTGGAAGCTCTTGTCGACCATCAATGACCCAATTGCAACCGTGGCCCATGGCGTCAGGTCCAAAGACTGTCGTGTCTTTGAAGCCCTTGGAATGACCTGGGTGCAAAACTCGAGCTGCGTCCCCATCAAGCCAAATCTGAAATTGTTCAAACCTCGTCTCACCGAGCATCACAATGTACGTGTAAGTGCCATCACCTTCAGGTTCCATAGCGTCTGCTTGCTGCCATTGAGACCAAGATCCAACAATCATATAAGAGTGAGTGGGCAGCAAGTCGTTGGCTAAGGCTCCACCACCGCCTGGCCAGTACATGATGCTATCTCTGGCAGAGATAACAACCTGCTGGGCATTCTTGTCACGCATGGCTCCCCAGGCAATGGTGTAAATATTCGAGCCACCGAAGCCACGTGACATGACTCCTACAAAAGCACTTTGCTTCTGGTACTCCATGAGCTCAGTGGCTATGTTGATGGGTGTGTCTTCAAGATCACAGTGCGGGTTCGCCTGCCGCAAGTGCAGGTTGGGCGTAGCATATCCGAATCGGATGGCACTGATCACTCGCATGAAGGAAATGATGCCCGAAGTTTCAATTTGATTTCCAATGGAACTCTTCACTGATGTGACCAACAAAGGTGGCTCCTTTGCATCTTCGCTGCGGTGAGCTCGCACCATGGACCCTACCTCGATGGCATCTGGCAAGAAGGCACCTGACGGGGTCATGCGTCATGATTCATGATGTGTCTATTAAGACTATGGTTTGGTGGGGTGATGGCATCATGATGCATCATGTCAAATGTACCCAAAGTACCCTCTGAGAATTTTCGTAGCGTAGCGCACCTGCCCCATAAGCCTCCACTGCGTCCACGTCTGCTGGAACGATGCTGGCATTCTGGAGGGCTTCTGCAACAACCTCTTGCTCAGCAGGACCATGTGGAGCAGAAAGGCTGGCACCTTTGCCGTTGTTGTTCATCATGGCACCAGCAATGGACCCGAGCGGCTCTTCCTCACTGGTAACATACTTTCCATCAACGAGCTGACTCGATGCCTTCAGTGTCACGGCAGCGACACCGTCACCCCGCACATAGCCGCTGGCTGATGCATCAAAGGTCAAGCATCGGCCAGTGGCACAAAGCCACCCAGATGCACAGTGTGTGGGCCACCAAACCGCAGCCAATAGAAGATGTGCTGCAATGGCAACTGAGAACTCGTTTGGAGTAGCACGACCCTTGCGTTGAACAGCTTCTGCACCAAGGTAGACGCATGTGGCACCCGAAGAAGCGTCAGTATCAATGGTCATACTGGGTCCTTTCAAGCCCAATGTGAAGGAGAAGCGCCCAGAGCTGATGGAAAGAGCGCCACCGGTTGCTGCAAAGGCACCCTGATCTGCTTCACGAGGCATCATAGACCATTCCACATTGCCACAGCCAACGTAGACACCACAGGTTGTATTCACCAAAGTGTTTTTACGCATGCCCATGTTGTAGAGAGCTTCATAGCCCACTTCCAGAATTAGTCTTTGGTGTGGGTCCATGGACTTGGCCTCATTCGGAGACATGCTAAACATCTTGCAATCAAAGAGCTCAATGCCATCCATGAAGCTGCCATGCTTGCAATAGGATTTGAAATAGTGATGGCTCTCAGGATTTGGGTCATAGACCTCCTCATGATCCCACCTGATCCGTGGCACTTCTTGTGGGTAATCTGGAGCAAAAGCAGTGGCCATGCAAAAGGCATCTGGCGACTCGGTGGCTGGGACTTTGCACGCCTCACCCTTTACTGCTATCATCTGACCCTTGTGAAACATGTGATTCATCGCACTCTGCCACTCACGTGGAATGTCTGGATCCCAAAACTGCGAGTTCAGATTCTTCTCCTTGAGCTCCCGAAGTCGGTTCACCGTCCAATCATCCAACTCCTTGGCGGCTGGAACCATCTTGTCTGACCTCTTGGTTCGTTTGGGCTTTCGATCGCCCTGCAAGAAGAAGGTGCTCAATGCCAAGGACCGGCCATTGGAGAAATGCTTGTGAGAAAGGATGTCGGGACGCAAAACTACCAATGTTCCAGGGTAGGTTGAGATCTCAAAGGTCTCTGCGTCATCTGTGTTGTAGGGTTTCATCTCTAAGCTGCCGCTGCTAGGACCCAGGAAAATAATGATCATAACTTTGTGCCGGAGGAATTGAGACAGCCATCTGAGAACCTCCTTGTCTGTCAGCGGAACTCGCTCCTCGCCCGGTTCTCCTGCCTGATGGACTAAAGCTTTACCTCTATGGGTCACCTCCACTCCAAAGCTACCAAGATATGGCTGAATGTGGAAGCCCAAATGGGTCATTGCTGTGTCCAGCTCCATGAGCATCTCTCCATCCTCACGACTCACACGGTCCTTCTCGGGAGACTCGAGTTCAGCAATGAAGGCAGAACCTTCACTTCCAAGAAGGCCATCTTGGATGACACTATTGGCCTGTTGCCAGCGATGGGTTTTTCCAAACGCCGCTGTCTCCTCTAAAGCTTGCCGCAACACGTGGTCCTCGAAGCCGGGAGCAACAACACAAAAGCCTTTCCCAGCGACTTTGCTCGCAATCTCCAGGGAGGCAGCTTCTTGTGAGAGCTGTCCTATGACCACATCTGCCTCTTCTTCCAAGCGCGAAGGTGAGGGCATGAGTCCAAAGGGGTCGGACAGCTTACAACTTCAAGTTGTGCTTCACTGTTCGCTATTGTCACTATGCTCACTGTGCTCTCCTCATGGTTCTTGCTTGTTCTCTTGTGGCTTGCAGGTTTGTGGTTTTTCGGCTTAAAGTCACCGAATGAAAAGTCATGATCCTCTGATCCAAAATGGCTCCAAACCCGACGAATGCGAACCCGTCAAATGCTCCTAGCCTTGTTTCTGTTGTTTCATATCGTTTCTGTTTCTGTGTCCGCTACTACTTCATGAAGCAAGACTCATTGAATCAAGCCACAAAGGTCTCCTCGCGCCGTGATCGCGGGCTTGACATCGGGATGGGCCTCCACTAGCCTCAGGGCCGAATTACCTCACACCACTGGTCGCAGTGTAACTAATCATTGGCTGTAAAGCTCGATCGACTGACTTGATAGGTTCAAGTATCCCTGACTTATAGGTCCCGTCGCATAAACTCATAGTCTCTCAAAATTTTGCCACGTGGCGGACAAAAGACGTCAAAGGTTTCTAGCGCATCCAGCCGCAAGGGCGGCTGCTGCAGTTGCAACCTGAAGGCCTGAGGCGATGCCCGACAGACGCAGACGACATGTCAGAAACCCACCAGACATCACAAGATTCATCTATTCTTATAACGTTGTTTGTTGTTGTTTTTCTTTCTTCCTCTAAATAGACCTTTTCTTTCCCCCTTTGCTTCCTCTCCACTCCTTCTTCCCCTTCGGCCTTTTGGCCATGTTCTCAAAGCAGTCTGTGGTTGATGGGACAAGGGATAGACACATGGCTTTGGGTCCGACATCCTGTGGTTGAACCCAAAAAATAAACAGATTCTTCTATAATCTTCTATAAGCGAGGTCAACCTGCCATGGTTTGGTGTGGGAGGTATTGACTCACAGCCACATAACATACCTGTTCAACCCATGTTGGTAGTCCCTGACATGCCACGACACCCATGGCATGGCAGGACGCGTTTCAACCGCACAACACATGCCATGCATACCACGCCTCTTGCAGGGCCCGACAGTCCATTCCATGAAGTTCAACAACTCAAGCAGTTCTATGGAGTGCCAAAAAAGCGCGCAGTGGGACGAGTAAGGAGTTTACCTAAACTAAACCTCTTCTTGTCGTTACACAACTGCTTTTGTAAGAGATGCACATGTAGTTCTGTAAACAGCTTCACGTTGAGAGCAAGTTGTCCTGTTCTGTGGCAAACCTCCAAAGGATGTGGCATTGAGAGGTCCAAAGGGCAGTGTGAGCTTCTTTGACAAACAAACAGAGTTGTGAGTTGTGTTCCTTTGTTGGCTTTATATACATGGTTTCACTGCCTCAAGTGGAGGAAAAAGACTTGATGCCTCCAACCTAATAACCTAATAACGATGGCCTTCACATACTACTGAAGTTTGTAGCACAAAATGCGGAAAGGGTTGTTGCGGGATTCCTTCTGTGTTGAGCCGCAGCAGCTTCGGCAGCTCGGCAGCTTGATGAATAAACTGTCAGGGCACGGCATTCTGCTTTATCTGGGATGAAGGCTTATCTTCAGCCTCCTCTTCAGCCTCATCCTGCGTGCCCGGAGGTGGTGACTCGTCCATCCCAGCCAACTTTCAAAGTCTTTCTGAAGAACACAGAAAGTAACTTCTAGCTACTAGTAGCGATGCACTTGTTACTAATAGCGATGCCCTTGTTACTAGTAGCTTATAGATATGTAATGCTCTGTGTCCCACCTGCGCATCCTGCGACTCCTGCACCTCAACCTGCGTGTCTGCCGGCGGCGCCACGGGGGCAGCCGGTGTCTCTTCGGTCGGTGCTGGAGCGGCTGCGGCTGCGGCGGCTGTGGCTGCAGTGGCTGGAGCAGCCTGTCCTTCCACCTCCTGGGACGCAGCAGCTGCTGCTGCTGCTGCAGCTGCTGCAGCTGCAGCGACTGCAGCTGCCGCTGTGTCTGGTGCCTCTTCTTCCGCTGGTTCCCCCTCTGCCGGCTCCACCTGTGTGGCTGGTCGCTTCCGCGAAGCTCCTGGCCAGTCCCGACTGTTCGCGAATGTTCAGAAATCAAGGCTCTTTGGAAAGTGCACCACAATCCATTGAACTGGCATGAATCTCTGCGAATTATGGACGAACCTACCGCATGTTGCCGCCGACAACACTGTGCAGAGAGGACATCTGTGCATGCTTTAGGACACTTACGTTAGTAGTTACTGTACTCTTCGTTTGTTGCAACAGCGTTTTGACTGCCTCTTTGCAAACCAGCAAAGAGGCCAGCCCTTATACATTACGAGCCTGTACATCATCAATCATGTCTGAACGAAAAAACAAAATCTAGCAACACCAAACACAGGAATGCATTGCTCTGCCGAAACTTGTGGGAGCAAATGGTGACCACTTCTCCATTGACAATCGACTTCTCCACATGTGTGCAGCCTTTTGTCTTGAGAAAGTCGTCAAAACAAGGGCAACTGCATCGAGGTCACCCTGTCACACCCTGCCTTTCTCCTTTGGCTTTTCCTTTTCTGGCTTATTTTCCACCTTTTCAGGTGGCTTTTCCGGCTTTTCGGGCTTTTGTCGTCGGAAGGAGACGATGAGCTGGTGCCTCGCCGCTTGAGACTAAGCCAAAATCTGCTCGATCTGCACTAGTTCCGTCAAGATTTCCACATCCAAATGTAGGAGCAAGGACGCTACTAGGGGCTCCTGGCCGTACTACTAGGAGCAAGAAGCTACTAGGAACAAAGGGCATTACTACTAGGAGCAAGAACGCTACACATCCAAATGTCTGTCTCAACTTTTTTTCTGAGCTCAAGACACACCTTTGGTGAAATTCTGATCAAACCGAAAGTGCTGAATCACCTGGTTGAAGCGGTGGACTCAAGTCAAGTGGCCAAACTTTTTAGACCAGCCTTGGCCAGAGATGTAATATCACTGGCCAAATAGGTGGCTCCTTCCGGTGGGACTTCAGCAGCCGCCTCGCAAGTTCAAGCCACATGCCGTGGTCAAGCGCCAGTCGCCGCCCAGTCGTGATCTCAATGCATGGCGCCCAGGCGGCCCCGTTCGGAGCGTCCGATCGCTCCATTCGTAGTAAGGCCAGGAGCCAATAGTAGCGTCCTGCCTGCTTCTTGCCCTTTGTCTTCTTTGCAGCCTGCCAATGTTCTTGACTGCACAGAAGCCATTCTCTGTGGACCATTCTCTACTCTTCGCCCCTCGCCTTTGCAGAGTGTTCTCTCAACAGCTCGAAGGTGACAATCCGCAAGATGCAAACCTCATGCTGCCACAAGGGTAATTCAAGACTGCTCTACCTATCAAACAGGAGTTACAAACAATAATGATCCAGACCTGCCTGGACGATCTTCAAGGTGCGCAAGACCTGGCACACTCCAATGATGATCAAGGTCAGTTAACGGTTAGAGGTTTAATGCTGGTCGAACCGTCAAACCAAACAAAGAATCAGCCGTTGACTTCAAAAGCCTCTTTCTTCAGATTTGCGACCACCATTGAGTCGACTCTTTCAAGGTCAAGCAGCAAGGGAACCTCATTCAGCAAAGCAAAAGATTGATTTCTGGCGCTGAGCAGTTCCTTGCTGGACTACCAGTGCACAGCTGAAGCGCCGAAAACAAGCACCAGACAATTGTTCTGCAAAGCTGTTCCACTGTGTCTTTGCTGACAATATCCTGAACATGAGAAAGTTGTCTTTCTTGTCAGGGAAGGCAATTCTACTGAACGTGTTCCAGCCTCAGTGGCAAGATATTGGCTGAAAGCGTCCTTGACCTGGTTTTGCAACGGTCCACTTGCACAAGTGAGAGCAATGTGCTCAGAAGGTTCTTGAGGACTAATTAAGTCTGTCTAGTCTAAGGGTTGCCTGTGCAGCTTCGTATTTCTTCTGATCGTTCCAGCCAGCAATGAACTTGAGACTGGCAAGCCATTGATCCTGGCAGCAGTGGAAGTCAAAGCACATACGACATACGGCCGCCATCAATCCAAGTCAGGGCCACAAAGAACGGCGGTGGTGGCTGCTCCTTCTCCGGCTCCTGCGTCAGGAGCAAATGCAGACATGACGTGAGACCAAACCCCAAAATCATGCTTACGATTGAAAACTTCATTGGTGTTCACATTTGAGCTGAATACACATTTAAAAATAACCCGTCTTGGGACGATTTTAAAGGGAAACCTACAATGTAGGTGCAAAAATCTCAACTCGCAGCATCTCTGTTGACCTCTTAAGGACCTCATATTTGGGGTTTCTATTGGCTTCAGACTTCACCAAAACTCAGGCTCAAGTAAGAAGACATCAAAAGTTCCACAGCACAGGCATAAAAAAAAGGTGTCAAAGCCCCGACTCAAAAAGGTCGACCACAAAAAAGCTCTAAAGAAGACAAGAGTCTTACAACCTTTCTGTATCTTCAGTACCTCAAATGCTAGACTTGTTTGGGCATGTCAAGGCTTTGCGAAGGTCAATGCAGGAAGGTACAGGATTCCTGCACAGACTCAAAAAATATACATGTGACCTAGAAGGTGCCCATAGATGCTGAACTCTTCATATTTCAAGAGCCTGTCAAGGTTGTGTGAAGATCGGCCATTGAGAACGACTTTGTTTAGAGCCTCCCAAAGTTTTGCGATGGTCAAATGCGTTTGTATTAATGATGTAACATGTTTTCCATTGACATTTCCTCACGTCAGGAATTAATGTTCTTTTTTGAAATTAATTGATGTCGAGGACTGCTGAGCTTGAAATCATAGCCAGCTACTATGGCTCGCTTCTCCTTGGACCAAAATGATTCGCAAAATGGCACCTTGAAATGTGCCTGAAAGACTGCAAATAAATAGCAGTGATTTTGAAGGAAACATAGGTCCAGAGTTCGGAGTCCGGGGTACCATGTACATATATTACATTACATACATTATATTACATACATTACATATTCCATATTACATATTGCAAACAAGTATATTATATAGAATACATATTATATTACATATTACACATATTACATACTTTATACATATTGGTGGTGTGTCGTGATCTCTGTGGCAATGGTGGAATGATCTTCCTTGCCTTCCCAAACTCCCACGAACACTGCATGTCTCCTCAGCCTTCGCATCGTCCGCCTCTGCATCCGGTGGTCGATCCACCTCAGCTTCGGAGAAAGCTGGGAGGTGATAATGGTCAACCCCCCAAAACGCTAAGCAAAGAATGCAAAGGCGTTTCAACATCTTTGTGTGACTATTGCGCATTCCTGTTGAAATGGTATGTTTATGTTCTCCTGGGTTATAGCCAAGCAGCGTCCTTTTTCTTCGTTGCCAAGGGTGGTGGGGCACCCCATGCCTTTGGCTTGGGCTTTGCCTCACAGGTTCTCTCCCTTCTCTGATGTTGCAAAACATATAGTATTATTAGCGCTTAGAACCTTGTGGACTCTGTAAAATTCAAAATCCTGACTTTGTTGGCAAGTATCTGTAGCGATCCTCCTCTGGTGCGAACACTGAAGGGGGAACTCCATGATGAAACGAGTCTTTCCCTTTTTTGAAAGAACTCAGGTGGAGGGGCGACCCATTCCCCAAAGCTGCCTTGGCTCGCGTTGCGATGTTTGCTGGGCCCCGCTCATCCTGGAATGAAGTGCAAATACAGCAATAAGCTTGAGTCCACATGTTCAGGACAATGAAGTAGCATCAGGTTGGAGGCCATCGCTATTAGGTGTTCAGGACAGTGAAGTAGCACTTCAAAACATGAAGCAGCCAAACCTCTGCCGTGGGACTGCCTGCCATCAATTTCAATTTGAACAACGTCTCGAAAGTAAGCACGGAAAGTTGTGTAATCACCTTCCGGACGGGGCTCTTGTGTCAGTGGCTCCTCCAACAAAGCAAAAGGAATTCATCGCTGGAGAGCTGTGCAGGGCACCTATATTTAGTGAGTATACATACGTTATTATAGTGCTCTCCCTTCCTGCAGTTTGGCAGCAAAGGTTGCCATTATTTCCTCATCATTGAAATCCTCTTCCTGGCATCAACAGTTGCCTCCTAAGCTTCTGCGCATGTAAACGCGAAAGCAAAAACGAAATGAAGGTGGACAAGCCCACGAGAGAATCACAGGTGGACAAGGGTACCGTCAG